ATGTGGGACTAAGAAAATAAAGAGAACACTCATTCCTCTAAAGCATTCACACAGACACACACACATTCATACACAACAACAAATACGAAAAACACATGCAAAATGAAAGGCACCCCGCATCCATCAGAGAACTGACATCACTGACCACCTAAACGAGATAGGGGATGGGGAGTTAAACTAAAGGAAAAAAAATGGGGACAGAAATAAAAGGGGCCGATGAGCAAACACACCCTAGCTAAGTTTACCGAAAAAGAAAAGAAAAGCTAAAAAATCAACTACAAAAAACTAAACTAGCCTACTCTTGGGAAGGGTTGCCCATGTTCAACCGAGGAAAACAATATCCTGATGCCTAACCGGCATCAAAATGCCACTCCAAGTCAGCCCCTTTTACTTGATACAAGTGCACAAGATTCACCCACCTTTTGCCAAATTCTGATGATGGGAGCCGCCGCCTTTCCATCCTAATCTTGACTTTAAGCTGATGCTTAAAGAACAAGATCAGTTGGGAAGAGGTGAACTTCTCGCGATCATAGAATTCCTTCTGATGCGTCGTCCAAATCACGACTCTCATAACCCCTAGTAAGCAACAGAACACATAGTGTTCAGCCTTCGTCAATTGCGGCACCACATTGCTACAAACAGAACTAGCTTCAAGGGCAAAAAAATTTCCCTGCAGTATGTGAACCATGAGGCCCTCAACAAACTTGCACAACGGCACTACTGCCCTGCACTGAAAAAAGGCGTGACCAATGGTCTCGACTTCCCCAGTACAGTGACGACAGTTTGGATATTTCTCCAAGCCTGCTGAGCAAAGTCTCTTGCCGACCCAGAGGGCCCCACGAATAACCAGCCAGGTGAGTGATGCCTCATCGTTATTGAGACATTTCAACCAAGTCACCCAAGGCCATATGGAGCGAGCCTCCTGCTTCGTAAGACCGAGCTCGCCAATCAGATCATCTTGAACGACCCCCCTAACTAACAGTCGATACAATGCCTTACGAGACAACGCCTGGGCATTGGAGAGGCCATCCGATGCCCGTAAGAGGAGTTTCAGAACATGACGACATTCTTTCCATATGTGACTGATGAGGCAGATTTTTTCGATGAAGTAGGTTGCCATTTCTTTCTGTGGTAGACCAGTTGCCATCCAAGGCGATAGAACCCAGTCTGTCCTACTATTTACCCATAGCTGGAGGGAGAAGAAGGGGATTCATACCATTCCCAAGGGTATTAACACATAAGTGAATGTGTTATGGGGTCCTCCCCTTTTTCATATAAGTGGACTCAACCACAGTGTTACTTGGACTGCTGCCGCTAATTACCCAGAGTCAGTCAGAATAGAGATAGTAAGAAGACTAAGACTGAGATTGAGTTGGAGGTAGAGTAATAAATGTGAGGTAACCGCTTGTAGAAGTCAGATACAAGCACGCAGACTCTAAGGAAGTCCTACTTCGAGACTGTATATATCTATATGTTATTGCTACTAACCGCGTTCCTGGATTTACTAACAGTATTACCCTTTGTATTATTATGTAAATAAATTTTATTTCTTATATTTAATTCTTGCATTTGTCATTCATTGGAGACCGATTTTCATCTCGGAATCCAAGAACAGAATGTAATGGATTCAACTGGAATTCACACTCGGCTCTCCGATTCCTCAATCCGAGCCACTATCCATTACTCCACTGTGCCTCTTGAAGTCAATTGTGCTATTCGTGATACACACTTGGGTGATCATGTCTCTTTCGATACATGACTGACGAGGCAGACTTTTTCCTCGGAGTAGGTTGCCATTTCTTTCTGCGGTAGACCATTTGCCATCCAAGGCTATAGAACGCCATATTTATTACAACGTTTCGGACGTTTGTTGTCATTATCACTTTTCTCTGGCACTCCTTATTATGAGCTCTGGTAAAAAAACATGCAATGATAACAGCAAAAAATTGCAATATGAGCACTAGTAAAAATGGTTGCTGAAGACATTAGGTTTATAATACCCAGAAATTCATATACAGATGTCCTCTGACATCCATTAAACATGTCACGTCCTCAAGAACACATGGCACAGTGGATAAAGGCGTTGGTTAGATCCAGTGACAGGACCTAAAGACTGTGAGTTCAATACTCGGTTAAGGCAGTGGAGAACTTTCAGACGGAAATTAACAGGAGATAACTGATAACTGACATTCATTAAACATGGCACGTGGAACTAGAACAGTCTACCTCAGTGAGCGAAATAAAGGGTTCAGTTCGACATTCCAGCCACCTGAAGAAGGCCGGAGCGTACAACGGCCGAAACGTTGTAATAAATATGGCAACAAAGATGAGGACAATAGTCCGAATAATGTACATAATACCTCATCTCAGAAATATAGACAGATATATAATTTCCATTTACTTAATCAACTTAAACTATAAAAAACAGTTATCTCTATCTATAAAAGGCAGGATGTGTGTGTGTGTGACGAATGCACGGCCGCAATTTTCGACGGATTTGCACCAAAATTTACATGCACATGCTCCAAGTTAGCGGAAAGGCCAAGACCGACTTTGCATTTCCCAACTCCCATCGATAGTGGAAATAATCGATTCTTTCATGCTTCTACAGCAATTTTCGTGTAGTTTGCGGCCATTTTGTACTGGCCAGAGTGGCTGCCACGAATAGGCAGGAAGATTCTATTGGCCAGCATGAGAGCCAACAGCTGACTGATACGAATGTTAACTAGCATGCTAGCATGCAAAAAAAAAAAATCGATAGCTGCATTCGTCACAAGTGGGAAAAATCTAAATCTGCATGGCACTTTACTCCAATTGGCTCATTCGCTTGCTTAAACTCAACGTTGATTCTGATTCCGCAGAACTGGTTTGGGTGTGAAAAAGTATTTGTTGTTAACATTCTTTTTTCATTCGTTTTTTCCAGTTACGAGTCCTTTTTTAAAGCTGACCGTTTTGTGTTCATTTTGTTTAGTTCTTTTTTTCATAACAGATTTAAAGTTTAGTATAGAGCTTAAAAAAAAATCGCAGTGTGAGATAGGCAAGAAGTAAGGCATGTAGCAACATCAGCATGGCAAAAGGGCACTCCTTTAAAGGCAAGGAAGGGCAAAAATATTTTAAGTCAAGTGATAGCGTACGATTTTTGAATCAAGCACTGACAACGCCAGGCCATGCTGCTAGTATATATATATATATATAAACAAAGACTTTTACCCACAGAAATAGGGCAACGCCGGGCCATGCTGCCAGTGCATATATAAATTCCATTTCTTTATTCAACTTTTCTTATTTGATGTTTTTTTTGTTTCATATTTTGTAGTGTTTTGCGTAAATATAAATTTGTTAGGCCATTCTAATCCATACACGTGTGCATAAATGTTCACTACAATTTTGTTGTTAAATACAAGTTTATTTTCATTAGTTTTACTTCAAAATAAATCATATACACAATATTTCTATAATGCAATTCATAAAGCCGTTGTTGTTTTTATCAATTCTGTCTTCTTTAACTTTAATATCTTCATGTGGGGAAAGTTGAGTCAATTTCCACATAGTGGCATATCAACCTCTATGGGTTTTTAGCATTCAGCTTCTACCTAATTATAATATTATTTTGACTCAGTGCATTCTATTGGTTGTAAAATACTGCAATTCATTTTTCATGTAATATTTCTCTTGGCAACAAACTTTGTGCAAGCTAAACGTCAAATGGATCACAGTATAGAGATTGCTGTTTTTCACACCCACAAACACACCGAGTCATTTTATTCGCATGCGATTGGCTAATAAATTACTACTGCCTTTGTATATGACAATTTAACCATCGCAGTCGTTCCTTTGAATCTTTTGGTTCTGAGCATACTTACCTATTCTGCTTAGTACGAGTGTAGTGATTGGTTAATTTTTAAGCAATCATATTTTTAATGTAAGATCAAGTTTTTCTGCAGTTCCGTGGGAGCCTACCTTTTTTCCTTAAAAGGGGCGACTTTTCGCAAGTCGCCAGTAAGATCCAGTAAGGTTCCAGCCGTCAACACAAATCCACGATCTTGCTCTACGCACACACAGACACAGAATTTCGTAACTACAAACTTACATTTTCTCTCTGTAACTTTCGCGATGTACAATCAACCAGAACTTTGTTGATTCAAACCAGTTTATTCACAACACATATCAAGCAATTGTATTTCTTCGTATTATCCATTCTTCACATGCAAACTTTGCTTTAACAATTATTTCGGAACATTTATCTCACAAGAGAACTTTCTTCAAACGGTTGATTACAATCAATCTACAGACAAAGGGAAATAACTTCCTTCTCTTTAGTCTACATTGTGAATACGATTTTATTTCATGCTTGTTGTTGTATTTTATTCAATATATATTTGTTGGTTAACAAATTAGAGTTGTTATTATTTCTTGAATCCTGTACGTGGAAGTATTGTAGTGCCACGCCTACATCTTCTCCAATTCTAATTGGTCAATAAATACATACTTAAAAATAACAGGACAATTTATCTATCGCATTCCACCACAGTCAATTTGTTTGTTCAAAACAAGCTTTGCTACAAAATCGCTGATTGGTCCATTTTCCGCCCAGATATTTTTCGTGTATATTCAAAAATGTACCACAGCGTCTCTGTTGGGAGCCACCCCAGACAGTATAAATATTGGATGCATTCCAAAAAACCAGTATTAGTAATTTCGGAACCACAGTCGAGGTACCCAGAGACAATAGTTCTCATTTACTCGCTCGTGTATTTCATCGTACTCACTCCGCACGTACACACACACTACAGAACTTTATCTGACACACCACCAATTATCAGTGGTCACACCACCTTAAATCAACTTTGTAAGTTGCAACTACTGAACAATTTTCTGAAAGAAATATTCTATTTTCAACACTGAACTCTGAACATTTTACTCAGACAAATCTTCTTTAAGACATTTCCTTACAGTCAAGGGGAAGCTACTTTTTTCTCCCTTTTTTACTCATATTGCAACTACTTTGTATTATTGTTGAATTTAATATATGTTGCAGTGGGCTGAGAGGTGTGAGTGCCAATCGACCGTACAACTAACAAAGCGGACACAAAGGCAAAGAGACGGCTATAGCAAAGAAGGATGACAAACGCAGATGGTCTGTAGTAGACGATGGAAATCGTGTCTTTATTTTGCGAACGGTGGGTGGTAGGGCGACAGAGGTCGTTTGTTCGGGAACGGTATCCGGAGGTTAACAGGCGTTGGAACAGGTCGCTGGACGTCAGTGGGCACTAGATTAGATCGTCAGGCGTCAGCAGGTGCTGGAATACGTAGCAGGGCATCAGTAAAGCGCCGCAGGAGTGAGCCGGAGCTGGAGGCGTGAGCCGGAGGGCTAGAAGCTGCAGGAGTGAGCTGGAGAACTCTGGAGGCCGTTGGATGCTGCAGGAGTGAGCTGGAGACTGCTGGAAGCTGCAGGGGTGAGCTGGAGGCCGCTGGAAGCTGCCGGAGTGAGCTGGCGTCTCAGAGGGCAAGCAGTAGCAGTGAGTGGAGCCTCGAAGAGTGGTAATCGAATGACTTTCGGAAGTTAGCCCTGAAAAGGACTGTTTGAGCAACTGCTGCTGGGTCCCGTCAGCTGCTGGGCTCGGTCGACTTGACTGGGCGTGTCAAAGTCGCGATTCAGGAAGGCTACCTGGCCGGCGGTATTTACTTAACTCCCACGGGGTCAAGATGTGACACAAGGTCGTTTTTCGTGGGATTACTTGACTCCCACGGGGTCAAGACGTGACACAAGGTCGTTTTTCGTGGGAAAACCCAAGCGTTTCCGCATAGGGTCACTGGTCAAAGATTGGTCATAACATGTCCAAGCTGGTCAAAGCTTAGTCAAGTTCTGGTCTTGGCTTGTCTTAGCAGGTCCTGATATGGTCCAAACTAGACTTTGCCATGGTCGCAACCCAGCCCGAAGGCCGGGCTGCTCCCTGGCCGGCTAAAAAAGTCTCTGGCGTCTATATAAGACTGTTCATACAAGACAAGCGGTGACGCTAAACAAGTAAATGAATATAATTAATTTCAGGCTGTATTAATTACAGTCAAAAGTGTATTTGTTGACTGTATTTAAATTAATTTCGGTTCGAAATTAAAGGTCTTTTATTTTTGTTTAGTGGCGAAAATTGAGTTTTGTGAGGGGGGGGTCAGTTTGAAAGGAGATCGTTGCTATTTTTAGCACACGAGGGTCGTGACCTTTCTCTACCAGGCATATCCGGGATTGTTTACGAAAAGGTGGGAGTGGTGATCGGGCACACTGCGACATATACATATTTCTTCGTTAAACAAAATTGGTTCTCATTGTTCTTTTTCCTTGATGTTTTAAGTATTATGTATGAATGTTGATTACCTTCTCAATACGCAGCCGCATTATCTATTTAACCCATTCAACATTGGTGACCACAACACTCGAGAAGCAGTACATTCTATAATTGATCAACCCGACGTACTAATCAACACTTTACAGTATCATTAATATAAACACGTAGCCGCTACAGCAGAAGCTATGACTAAAATTCCGATTTTGATTGGTTAATATATGTGAAAATTGTTACAACGCCTACACTGTTGTGTTCAAAATTAATTTACCTCCAAATATTTTCTTAATAGAATTAAACATGTTCATGAGCCGGTTACATGACACACAAATAAATAAATAAATAAATAATGAGATTTTTAGTAAAAAGTAAAATAAGCTTTTTCTTTTTTTACTCGAATGGTTATGGGGATCTGTGTGTGTATAGGTTGTTTCTGTTATGCACGTCAGCGGTCACCATGATGATGTATGTGTGCGTGTTGGGGGGGGGGTAATATTTTTTTGTACACGTCGGTGGTAACCAAAATGAAGTGGGTGGTTATTCACTCACATCATAACAGCAGAAATTAACCTTGTGTTCACTTCTATTGTCGGTAACTCCAAAACGGTAGATTTTATCAAAATTTCTTTGTTATTTTTGAATGAAGGATGTCTGTAGTGTAAATGTACATCTATTAGGAAAATTTTTATTGCATATTTAGCGCGGGGCTTAAAAAGCAAATTACTCGAAACATCTTCAGGAATTTTTGTTTCACATTCAATCATTAATAAATAAGTAATGTTTGAATCAGTTTATTCTCTGATACTTAGCAATATTTTTTGTAAACTAGTAAACACCAGATAGTGACAGTCTCACATTTCGGAAAAACCGCTTCGCATTAGCTCCGCATTTTCTAAATTCTACTTTAAAAAATTAATCTTATCATAATGTGTTTGTCATATTTTTAATTAAATTTTAAAATGTTTTTAAAATTAATTAATACATTATAAATATTATATTTTAATTTGACGGTGATGATACAAGCAGTGAGTAAAAAAAGTATTCAATGCGGACCTCGGGTCAGCTAAGTTCCGGTTTTTAATAGCCATATTCGTAAATGTTTACGGAGCATCTAATAGCCATATTCGTAAATGTTTACGTCCTCGTTACAAAACTTCAGTTTAAAAAAAAAAGCATCAAACCAATTTGATGATGCTGCTGCCCAGTCCTGAAAATTTAAGAAAAAATAAATCAACCCAAATTTAATTACCGAGGTAAGTATTGGTTCTTTTTTTTCATATATAAAAAAAAAGTTAACAAGTATCTGTAAAAAAAAAAAAAAATAATATGTAGGAAAATAAAGAGAAACACCCATAACGATGGATCGGAAAACCGTGCCTTCAAGATACGAAAAAACTGACTGAACGGGAGATAAAATTAGATTAATATCTTAATAAATTGTTGAATCGTAATCAGTCAAAGCGAGATATCGGAATTATTTCTTTTTTTGTACATCCATCTACAGTGTAACCCGGATATAAGAGAGATTTTCTCTGGTCCCAAATTAGAGCCTAATGTATATAAAATAAACCAAACCCGGATATAAGAGACTTCTCCGGTCCCGACAACTTTCTTATATCCGGGTTACACTGTACTCAATGAGAACTAGTAAAATAACATAAATTTTCAGCACGTTTTTTTATTTCGTATGACACCCATTAATTTGGAAAATCTTGCAAAAATAAAAATAATTGTCGGATGTTAATGAAACTTTCAGAAACTATTCACAAATGATGGAAATTATTAAAAAATGTTTTCTTTTTTTAAAGTCATGGAAATTTTTTTTTTTTCATATTTATTACCCCACCATAACTAATTTTATGAAAACTCTAGAAATTCAGTCGCATTCAGTTTTTTTAGTGATTATTATTGCCCCCCCCTACTTCTGAAAATCAGTTCTGAATTGTAATATACAAAAGTCAATAAAACAGATATTATTTAATTTCAATTGCTTTTATGAATATGGACAACATTTTCTGAAAGCAAAAAATTTTTTCGATACCGTAATTCAGCATTAACTTTCTTCCTAGTTTACTTAGACTACATTTATTTTGTGTACAATTTTTATTTTCTTTTAAAATCACCATTCTTTATGATCCCTTCATATAGTCACTTGTCTTCAAAGATTTTAGAGAACCCAAGCTATGTAATGTTTTTAATTCTGTCAGAACTGGTGTCAATAAAGGATTATTTAAGCAGTAATTTTAAAAAGAAGTAAGACAATGTCTGCATTGGAAAGACAAGCAGAAAAATAATAAAAGAAAAAAAAGCAAACGTGCAACATCATTGTAAGAAAGTAGAAAGATTTTTTTTTTAGGAATTCATATTAGTGGAAAAAGATGATTACTTTTGAAAATAAAAATAGAAGAAGCAAATCAGTTACTGAGGCAGTCCAGTAGTTTTTTTTTTTTTTTTTTTGACGTGCTTGCGTGTGGTTTTAAAAGAAAAAAGAAACATGTATGATGTACCTGCACATAAAAAGCAGTTTTTATACTGAAAGTGAGAAGAATAAACACCCTAATGAACACTAATCAGTTATTGATACACTAATGTATTCGTACTAGTGTCCTCATCTTGGTTGTTATTGTTACAATTTGGCTATAAAGTCTAGTGGTATGCTTCAGGTATCTATCATATTTGGTAATCTTTCAGGATGTTTTAAACTAAACACTTTATTTAGTCAATGGGGATAGAGTTTTCACAAATCTTGTATCAGTTAATTTATCTATGCGATATCGGTTGGCTCTTACACTGAATCAGTATATATCTGTTGGTGTCAATGGATTTTATATATATATATATATGTGTGTGTGTGTTATGAATTTTGAATGCAATTCAAAATAATATGAAAAGGAGACAGAAATAACCTTAAGAAAAGCTTTATTCAACAAAAAATAACAAAGCAGAACAACGTTAACAATGTCTCTCCACATAATATCACTGTCCTCAGAGTACAATTTATAAAGAAAAACAAATGTACATTTACATACAAGAAATTTAGATACAAAACATTAGTTTGCATTAAGAAGAATTTCCATAAATGAATTATGTTCATTTCCATAACACTCTACCCTCCTGTAGGAAGGAGAAGAATATTTCACTTGCATAACAAAATCTTCATATTTTGTTGGTGCCTTTCATGTTCTTGAAGACCTCCGTAGATTATTGTCCTCATCTTTGTTGCCATATTTATCACAATGTTTCGGCCTTCTTCAGGTGGCTGGAATGTCAAACTGAACCCTTTATTCACTTGCTGGGGTAGACTGTTCTAGTTCCATGTGCTATGTCTCATGGATATCAGTTATCTCCTGTTAATTCAGCTCTCCAAGTTCTCCACTGCCTTAACCAGGTATTGAACTCACAACTCTTTGTGGCCTGTAATCAACGCCTTTATCCACTGTGCCGTGTGTTCTTAAGGACATCTGTGTATGAATCTCTGGGACTTATAAACTTAATGTCTTCAACAACGATTTTTTACCAGTGCTCATATTGCACTATTAATGAAATAAAGGGTTCAGTTCTAAATTCCAACCACCTGAAGAAGGCCGAAGCATACATTGGCTGAAAAATTGTGATAAATATGACAACAAAGATAAGGGCAATAGTCCAAATAATGTAAATAGTGTATATAATACATCTCAGAAATATAGACAGATACTGCAAGTCCACATATTGTGTCAAAGTGAAGATCTAAGGACATAGCAAGAGAAATATTTGCTGATGCTTTTTGCCATTGTTTCTCGTCTCTTAGCCAATCAATACGACTGATTTCAAACTTTCTGATACAATTCTGGCACAAATATCTTCAGTTATTTCTAGCTGGAACAGCTTGCTCAAAGTTAGTATGAGAAACATTAACAGCTGAGAGGTTATTCTTTAGCTTGTCTTTATGCCTAAGCCACAGTAAATCCAACAGTCCTTTCTTCACTGTTAAGCTGGCTATACATGAGGAGGACCATAGATATTCTGCAGTCACTCACCCTTGCAACACAACCAGCACAGCAAAGTTGTGACTGCACACAGGAAAGTCTCAATTCCACCACTGTTGCATTTTGCAAGAAGATCAGCATTGAATATTGTCAAAAGTATAGCCACAGAACATGCAGACAATTTTTGTGGAAGACATCCCGCTGATTGATATGGGACCGATATGGGGTCCATGATTTTGAGTTGTACAACAATGTAGTCAAGATTGTTACTCAATGAACCGTATTTTGGTGTCCAATTTGATACCTCTCTCATTCCGTAGTTGGTGATGAGGCTTCCTCAATGCATTTGTAGCTTTGGCGACTTGATTTGTTTTTCATGATCAATGGATGCAGTTGCATTCATCTTGCTTCCTAAATATGTAAATGACTTCACATACTTCAAGTTTGTCCCATTAATCATATATTTATAAATATACATATTATTCTTTGCTGCTAACATGACTCTCAATTTCATGCATGATGCAATCTTCATCTGCTGAGTATGGACCGTTACACAATTTTAAATTATAATATATCTGGCCATTACAATGTTGATGTAGATGCTGGGATTAAAGTTTTTTAATTTTAAAATTGAAAATTATATTTGGCAATTAAAATCAGTGGGATGTTATGTATGTTAAAAAAAAATAAAAAAATTCTATATTTCAATGGTGAATAGTCATATTTTAATGTTTTTAAAATTATATAAAGGAAGGTTACTTGTACTTATTAAAACATGAATATATATTAATTTAATAGTAATATATTAAAAATAGACCGTAATTAGCATTAAAAAACAATTAAAAATTTTAAAAATTTTTATATATATATATATATATATATATATATATATGATAGCTCTATATTACATCAAACACTGTTTTATTAATACCAGGACCATATATGCTATATATATATATATATATATATATATATATATA